GGGAGTGGTCACTGGGGGAATGATGCCATTTCTGCCCCTTAGCAACAAAAAGTGAAAAAAAAATAGGGGACTGGGGGGCAACCCCCCCTTTAAAAAGGCTGGAAGAGTGATGTGGGCCAGGGGAGCCCCTGGTAGTTGAGTTGGGATTACTTCCACCACATTGCACCAATACCACAGAGCCCCAAACAAACGCCAAAGTTTTTCTCTTCCTTTCTGCTTTCAGCTAGTGGGGGTCGCAGCCCCCTTCCACCCTGCTGCCCACACGCCAGCGGGGGTGAGGGCCCAGGAATTGCAGGATCAGATGGGAATTGCAGGAGCATCTCTGCCGCCAGTGCCGCCAGGCACAGAGATGCCCGGAGGAGACCCCAGCATGCCCTCCCACTGCTCTCCATCGCAGCGGCAGCTCTTCGGGGGCATCACCGCAAACTGGCCCCCAGTCCCCCCGGCCTTGGCGGTGCTGGGCCAGGCATGCGGTGCCAGGGCAAGGAGGAAATTCATATGTGTGAAGGAAACTGCTCTTCTCCTTGCCTGAATTATTCAGAAATGCTCTCCTGATAAATAATTTACCTACTTTGTAAAAACGCTTTTTCCATGAACGCAAGAAGGCTTCGCGGGACTGCGTGATTATCCACTGCAAGCTCTCCTTCCTCGCCTGCACTGAGGTGTTCATTTTAATGGGCAAGTAGGAATCTCATTAAATACCTCATTAATCGCTCAGCCTGTGGAGCAAAGCTGAAGGGGAGAGCCGGGCAGAGGTACGCCCTCAGGTGCCTCGTCGGAAAGCTGCGATCGCTGCTGGGAGTGAAATCTGGGGAGGACATTTTGGCGGGGGGATGTTGCAGGGGAGTGCTCCACATACCAGATCACTGAGGTTGTTACTCTGCTCCCTGCCCGGCCTCTTCCCAGCCCAGAACGGGCCCAAAAACAAGACCAGCCTGTGCTAAAAGAAGCCAGTACCTGGCTCAGCTGCAAGTTGGCGTGAGAGCGGAGAGGGGCTGGACAGGGCCATGCAAAACCCCTTACACAGACCCTTGGCTGCGTTTCCCTGGCACAGCCCGGCAAGGCCAAAGCGACACCGCACACTGCCAGTGCAGAAACGAGCGCCCTGGGAACAGCTATAACGTTAATAAAAAGGAGCTTTGAGCATTATTTACAGGGCCATGTTTCCTTAACAAATGCGGCTCAATGTCCCTTTCGGCATGGGAAACCCTGCTGCGCCAAGATCCCTCGCCAGGAGCCAAGCGGGGATCCCCTGAGGCCGGGGAAGTTTATTTGCAATCACTGAGAAGAGAAACACGCTGTTGCTCGAGTCTGGCAAGGAGCTGTTCTGCCCGAGCTGCCCATTGCAGGGAAGAAGAAAGCCTGTTTGTCCATGTGAAACCAGCCGAAAAATTGGTAACCCTGCTGCTGAGAAGTGGACCGGATTCATCCAGCAAAGGCAAAGGCACCAGGCGGGTCCCATGGTCCTGCAGCCAGGGAGGGCTGGGGCTCCCCCAGCCCAGACGAGCAAGGCACGTCCCCTCCTGGCTGCTGGCTTCTGGTGGCTCAGCATCCCCACCAGGGCGCACACCCACAGGGCTCTCGTCCCCTCCACCACCCAACCCACACTACCATCGCCATGGGTGAGCAGCCCACCATGCACAGCCCAGGTGGGCTTCCACGTGGCCCCATAAAGCCCTTGTGCCCTCCTGCAGGCTGGCCCACCCTGCACTGCAGCTGCACAGCCCTCCTTGGCCACGTTGCCAGCTCTGCCTGTCCCTGGACCTAAGCCACCTCCCATGCTCATGTAGGAAAATCCAGTGGGAACATCAGGGTTCATGATCCTGTAAGAGGCATGGCTGCACCATGTGCTGTACCGATGGCATTCATGCCTCCCTGGCGACACCATGGGGGACGTGAATGGCCGCAGCAGCCCAATGCCATGCTGCACAAGGTGTACCCACTGGCACGGTGGACCCTGTGGGAGCCAGGCTGATGGAGAAGGGGCTGAGCAACCCCCAAGGGCACGCAGGACCTGGCTGATACCCTCCAGCCTGCCTGCAGGGAGAGAGCTGCTCTTCCCCATTACTAATTAGCCACTAGAGGGAAGTACAATGCTGTATGGGGAAGGGTTTTGGCATACGATGATGCATGGGATCATGGAAAACTGCAATTTGTGGCTAAGGTCCTTGCTGACAGCGGCACCAATGCTAAAGGCCATTTTACTGCTTTTCTTTGGAGTTGGCTCCCCAGTGCTCGCCACCATCTTGCACCCGATGGAGGTGCCTGTGGGGCAATGGTGGGGATGGGCATGGGGTTTGTCTGGCCGCACGAGCAGACTCGGCCAGGCTGCCGCGGGAGGCTGTGGTCCCTCTGCTGCACACAGCCTTGGACAGCACCAAAATAGCATGTAACAGCCTGTCAGCCAGCCTGCTAAATGGCGTAAACAGCCTTTGCCGTTTTTAGCAAAGAGGGGAATGTGTGTTGTTTCTGGGACGTGCGGTATCCAGGGCCAGCGGAAAGATGAGGGAAGGGCCAGGCGTCCCAGAGGGACAGCAAGCTGGGGCAGGGCAGGGGATGGCTCCCAGCAGAGGGGGCCCAGCAGCCTTGGGAAGGGATGACCAGGAGGACGAGGGCTCCCATGGGCTAGGCTCCACAGTGGTGCTGGCTTGATGCCACTGGGGGAGGACAACGGTGGGCAGTTGGGGTCTCCTTCCACAGCCCCCATGGCATGGATCCTGCCCATGGGGCCAGGCTGGCCTGGGCAGCCCCCAACCTCCTCCTGTGGCAGCCATCCCAACCTCCGTGCGGCCAAAGCAGCTCTTGACCCCTCGAATCGCACCAGCAGGGATCATGACTGTGCTGAGGGAGCACAGCTGATAATGAGCCTCCTGCTCTATTTTATTCCTGTTTATAGATGGCTAAATATAACTTTCTGCTTATTTTTGATTTTTAGTGAAAGCTGCGATCCATGACCCATCAAGTTGGTTTTGTATTTTTCGTATTTGCAGGCTTGCATCAGATTCAAAAGAGATAACGAGGTCAGGCTCAGCACAAGGTTTGTAGTTGAGTTAGGTATGGGCAGCCTGTCTCACACTGGAGGTCCGGTGACCGCGGCGCAAAGAGGCAAAGGTATTGCAGGACCCGGGGACGGCAGCTTTCTCTGTGCCAAAAAGAGCCCCCAGCCCCAACCAGAGCTGCTGCCTCTGAGCACCGTGGCTATGGGCACTACCACCCTGTCTGCATTTGGTGGCAGCTTTTGCTTCTCACCTGGCAGAGCAAAGGGGATTTTAAATGTTTTCCTATCACACAGCCAGAAGTAGCTCACTGGGTTGTACAATATCTCCCTCTGCAGTGGGAACAGGAGCCAGCACCCACCTGCAAACTAAGCGTGTAAGACAACATAACTGCAAGCGAGTGTGCTGGGGGTTGTATCAGCTGGTGGTACCCTCAGGGATAAACTTCCATCCTTCTTTAGGAGGCAGGGATAATGTTTGTGAGGCTGTTTGACAGACCACCGAAAGCTTTATCACCATGGTATTTTCCTAACAACTGAATTGAAACGCCTTGAGGTAATTGCAGCACTACCTATTAAACACACAACGTCCAATTTTCAAATCCTGGCAGCCTAATAAATACCCCAATCATGCATTTCAGGGTTCAAGTCAAGATTTGGCAGGGAAACCAGCCTTGCCTTGCTCACACCTTGGGCAGAGGCAGCTGAAAACCTCTTGTCTCCACTGCAAAAAAAGTTCCTAGTTCAGTTCCAAGATCCTGCTCCTCCATTCATTCATTGCTCAGGAGACGAGACTTCAACAGAAGCATTGGCGTCACATGCACACAAACAACACACTCATGGCTCTGGCAAATCACATTTATAGGAAAAGAACAGATCCGGCTAGATCTCTGTCATATTTTACTGGGGTTGCATGAGGGACTGTTTTCAGTCTCAAGATTGCATGGAAAAACCATCATCCAAAAAAAAGAAAGCATCAAATTCTTCAAATGCTGGACTAAGGGCTTGACCAAAATAAGTCAGGCAGCGAGCAGCCATCCTGCAGCTCCTCCCTTCTGCGCCCTTCTCCTCAGGACTTCAAAATTCACCCGTGCTGACTCCCAGCTCTACATATCAGAGATTACTTTTGTGTTCATTTACACATCCTTTTAGTCCTTCCAGATAGCCAGGTCTTTACAACAATTCAGTCATTTGGGATGCTGCCTTGCTGACATTCGCTTGGAGGAGTTTCCCCTCTCCTATGGATACCGGCTCCCCATGCCCGGTTGCAACAACACGCATCACACTATTTTTTCCTGGTCCAATTTTTTGAGCCCAGGTTTGCCAAGGTCCCGCCTAGCTGATCTTGAACTGCCCTGGAGTGGCTGGAGAGGAAAGCCTCTGCTCTCTGAGGTTCAACCTCTGTTTTGGAAGGAGGGAGACACAGGAAAAAAAAGGCTTTGCTTTGACCTGAAGTGTGATAGGTTGAAAGCCATCCGTAGGGCTGAAATTACTCTGATGATTTACAACAGCACTGCCACATGCTTGGCTGGGTTAAGAGGAAACTCATCCCCCAGCGCTGCTCACCCCTCGAGCAGTTTTGCCCTTCTTTGGTGCAGCAGCAGCCTCCAGGCAGGAGCAGCTCTTGCCATTAAAAGGAGAAGCCAAAACTCACTCAAGAATTCTTTTACTAACACGTTGAAAAAGCCCTGTTTGAGTGTGTTAATGCAAGGCTGTAGACACACTTTCTCCATCAGCTGAGAACAACATTTCCCCATTTACACAGGGCAGCAGCTCGCGCTGTACAAGCCCAGCCCTGGACGAGCAGACTTTCACATGGGCTCCTCCAGCAAACCGTTGCTCCTTCCGTTCCTACCCAATTCCCAAACCCATCTTTTCCCCGTTAAGGCTATCTTCGCCAGCTATCCCAGTGTGACCGGATTATATAAATGGTCCAAAACTTAAGCAATGGCCAGGAAAAATTAATGGGAAAACCCAACTTTTAGGTCAGCATGCGCAATAGCAAATGGAAAATGCAGTGTCTGAGCTGACAGCTCCCCAAGCCCTTAGGGATCGTGATCTGGTAGCCGGACTTCATTTCTAAGGAGACTGCAGCAAGCCAACTAGGACTCCAAGCAGCTGGTAAGCATGATTTTTTTTCCCCCTCTTACTAAATTCAGGATTTTCTCTTCTTCTGGGCTGAATCAGAAAGACAGTCTTTTCTGTTTGCAAGAAGTTTCTTTCTCGGAGTTATTCTCAGAATAGCCAGTGAGTACTTTAAACCAAGAATAGCCGATCTCCCTTAGATTCATACTCCTGTTTTTGGAAACGCTATTTAGAGATCAAAACTCCTAAATCAAAAGTAGTCAGGAACAACAGCGAAAAACCACATGTCTGTAACAGCGAGTACTGCACTGGCACCTTTCGATTCACCTCGTTCCTCGAAGACTCCCGGAAAGATTGGGTTTGTCCCAAATCTCCCCGAGTCATATCAGCTTCTTGCCAGAAAGCTGCAGCATCCAGATTTAAGGTGCGAGCCCCTTGGAGCAAGTCACCACTGGAACGTCAGCAAAAACTATCCTACAAGTATTTAGAAGGAAAAAAAAAAAAAAAATGAGCATAAGCCAACCCCTGGTTAATACATTTTGAAGAAAATACTGGAGTTGAAAAACAGATGGATTTGTTGTTCTGTGCTTTGTGCAGAGGTGTGTTTTAAAAAAAAATATGATTTATATTATAAAAAAATATATATAAATATATATAATATTTATACAGTGTTATATGATATTTAAATTATGAATCATGGTCTGAATCACTACATAGCACTTAGGAATGGCATTGTTCTTATGGATGATATGCTGATTTCTGCTGATAAATGAATAAGCTTCATGTAATGCATATGAGCTTCTAATGTAGTAACTGCCAAGGGAGTAACTGAAAGCCACTGAGAGTACTTAGTTCATCTATCACTGGTCTGAAAGGTACAACTGACATTCAAATGCGGCACATTATTTCATGTTACACTGCTGAGCATCAGATGGAAAGACAACAAGAAACGGGAAAGATACAGCACAGGGATATCATACCTAAACCAGAGTTTAAACTCGAAGCTAGCAGACATAGCTTAAAACATTCCCTTCATAAGACACACCTCTGCTGGAGAACTGCTTCGTTTCTCAAACAAGCAAACCCCTTGTGGTTGAGTCAAACTGTAGCCAGAGAAGTAGTTTTCTATTTGTGTACCACAACACTTTTCTTACTAAAAAGGAGAAAACTCGATTGTGTAACATAGCCACTGTAAGGAGCTGCGAGGGGATGCTGTGGGACGGGCATCGCCTTGAGCCCTTTCAGCTGGACCGGTGCCTGCCAGGAAGGCTCCTGGCAGCCCTGCTTTGGACTGCCTCACACTTGCACCACTTTTGACCTTAAAGGGAAGGTTTATTTTGCACCAGCAGAAGACCTAGCTCTGGGGTACACGTCGATAAAATTTTAATGATATTTGAGTTCTAGGCAGCATACGAGAAGGCAGAACTGACCCCAACAAACTCACCAAAACACAGCTCAAGAAATAAAATTTTGAGGCAGATTTTTATCGAATGCTAGCATGTTGTCATGCAGTTAGATTCAGCCCATGCTGATTCTGGAGGGGTGCATGCTTGTAGCCAAGCCAGGGGGGACCCAGGCAGGAGGACAGGGGTCCCTCTGCTTAGGGCCATCCACTGGGGCATGGCAAAGTGGCCATGTCACAGCATGCCCAAATACGCACACCCTCGCTTGCCAAACCAAGCCACTTTTAGGATTTATAGACATCTGTTTCACTTGTCCACCCTGCTTCATGGGCGATAGCTATGGCCCTTGTTGCAAAGGGGCATTTCGCTTCCCAAAGCATAGACGAAGGAACACTGCCCAAGGTTCAGGTTGGGGTGGCTGGACCCCATAGTACCCTTCAGCCCCAAAACTGCCTCCGAGCCAGGACCACGGCCCCATCGCAAGGTGCCATGTGGCTGCTGGAGTGCCGGAGCCCGGTAGGTTGGGCACGGTTTTAGGAGTTCCCTGATTTTGTGTATTAGGTACTGCCCACCAAAGTCATTAAGCACAGCTTTGAAGTTTTCTTCAAAGCCCCCCCAATATCCTGCAAAAACTGAAATCGTGGTAACCTCTGTTATTTAGCTTCCTTTGAAGCAATTACATGATAGCTAATAAGATGTTATTTAAAATACAGCATTTAAATAGCTTGCCTAGAAAAATCAACACTGCAAAGGAATTGCTCTGAAATATTTTTTTTTTTTGAAGTTACAGAGCTAAGTGTCTCTAATGGCCACGCTGTTATTCACTTTTCATTGCCTATTATGCCACTTACAATCCTGATAACAGGTTACCTTCGTTGTTCCGGGGTATAATCTCTGCCCGGGGAGCAGCTTCACACAACAGTCATTTTAAAAATAACCATTTCCTAAAATCCTGACCCAAAGCCCACCAAGGTCCCACTGATTTCTGGGAGGATGGGAAAAAAGCCCCAGGCCGGCCATAGGGTGTCACCACTGACCTGGTTCTAGGGAGCTGCACTAATTGCTCTGATGAGCAAAGCAATTAGATTAAAGAAGAATACGACCCTACAGTGCCTAAGTGCTGTGCAACTTGTCTTCCCATAATCCAATAACATAATTCAGGTGGAAAAAAACCAAATAGTATCATAATTTCATATGGTCGCTCAGAGGAGACAGGAAGCCTGGCTGTAGTTTCTGTCCACACTAGATAGACTCAGGATAGTGGGCTGTACACACAGCGATAAGCCGAGCTGGTGGTTTAAAGGCTTCAGAGGTTTGCAGATGGGCTCTGCCAGACCTGTACTTCCAATCGGCCACTGACTCAGCTGGATAGAAGTTAGAGCACATCGTGGCTAATTGAGCAGAACTTTGTGAAGAAATCAGCCATGGATACCCTGGCGTCTGCCGTGCTCGGTCCGGAGCTGCATCTGTGCCCGTGCAAAGAGCCCCCAAGCGCCAGGGGAGTAACTCTGGCATTTGCACCTCTCTGTGCTGGATCTGCTCCTAGGCTGAGGTCCATGCTGCTCCCAGGAGCCCCATTCTGGCTTGGCTCACACCAGCACCACGCTGGATGCAGAGGGCCCCTTGGGGCGAGCAGAATTGCTTTCTTTTGGACACGTTGCTTCAATGAATTTTAGTCTTTTGGGCCTCTCTGTTACTCAAGGGTGGGGTTTTTCTTCACTTCTTTTTCCCCTATTAACCTTTAAAGCTAACAAAGCCATTTTCCACATCAGGAACCAATGATGAGGGGCCCAGCAGGCTTCCTCCTTTGCTCGCTGCTGCTGATGGACCCCCACAGCACAGACGTGGCTGCCCAGGACATCCAGCCTGACCCCAAAACACCATGTGCCAACTGGATGGGAGGAGCGCCCGGCTACCCCGGCCACAACGGGCTCCCTGGCCGGGATGGGAGAGATGGAAAAGATGGAGAAAAGGGAGAGAAAGGAGAGGAAGGTTGGTGAGGAACAGGGGGTAAGTCGGTGCTGGAGCCCATGGGCAGCCCCAGCCCTCAGGCCCAGCCCCGGCAGGTCTCACGTCTGGTAGGTCCAGGCCCAGCCTTTGTCCAGATGACATTTGAATATCTCCAGTCAAAGAGTTTGGTCTGCGGGCTTTTCACTTGCTGGCTCAGCTCATGGGAGGGTGTTGAGGTCATCCAGCCTTTCCTCATAGGATACCTGCTGCCAAGCAGATAGATCGTCATGCCACAGCCCCCCCTGCATTTCGGGCCTTTGGGTGGTGGCTGCCAGCACAGTGCAGACAACTCCCTGTCCCCACTCTGTCCCCCCAGGTGCGCAAGGCCCCAAAGGTGACCATGGTGAAATGGGAGTCCCAGGGCAGGAAGGGCCAAGAGGATTTCCTGGATACCCAGGGCATAAGGGGGAGAAGGGCGAAGGTGCCTTTGTCCACCGCTCTGCCTTCAGTGTGGGGCTGACGGAGCGAGCCCCCCACCCCAACGTCCCCATCCGCTTCAGCAAGATCTTCTACAACGAGCAAAGCCACTATGACAGCAGCACCGGCAAGTTCCTCTGCAGCATCCCTGGCACATACTACTTCGCCTACCACCTGACGGTCTACCTGACGGATGTCAAGGTCAGCCTCTACAGGAAAGACAAGGCAGTGATCTTCACCTATGACCAGTTCCAGAAGAACAATGTTGACCAAGCGAGCGGCTCTGTCTTGCTGCACCTCAGCACTGGGGATGAGGTCTGGCTGCAGGTGTATGGGGAGGGGGACAACAACGGCGTCTACGCCGACAACATCAATGATTCCACTTTCATGGGCTTCCTCCTGTACCCAGACCTGGATGTCTATTAAAGGAAGGGGTGCTGCATGGGAGAGGAGGAGGTGGCTTAACCCCGGACGGCATTCTGGGGCACTGGCACTATAGCTACGCTGTATTTACCAGAAAGTTGCTTTTTGCAGGGGCAACGACTGCCAAAAGTAAATCCTATTACCTAAAAAATCAGTGAGGTTATACGTGAGCGAATTCCATGGGACCAAGAGTTCACTCCTACCCCTGCTCTTGCTCTCCTTGTGGAAACCTGGGTCTGAAGTCAAATACCATTCCTGCCACATCATGGAAGAGTAACTCTCGAGATGGGATAACCTTTTTTTTACATTTAAAACTGATACAAGAAAAATTGGTTACATTTAAATATCACATTCTAAAGTTCCCTTTCTTAACTACCTAAATTAATTTAAACCAATGGTAAACGTTTTAGCCAGCATTTCAAATTCAAGTAGAAGAGAGAGAAGACTATTCACAAAAGCCATCTCTGCTCTTGTTTTCAGCTGGAATAGATGGCTCTGTTTTTCCCATTGTAACTCCCTGTCCTATCAGGGCCTTTTACTTCCACCCATGGTTTGTTGTCTCCCTTCTTTAGCCCAGATCTTTGAATATATTCAGATTATTAACTTTCATTGATTTTATTCCTTTGATTTTTCCTTTTATGTTTATCCCTTATAGTTCTCTCTAATGTAGACAGCATGCCCATTTAGGGCAGGAATCTTGTTTTTTGATTTATCTGGAAAGCCTTATGAACACCAGTGTGGCTACACAACAAAAGCAGCCTCTTGACCGTATGGCTCTGGGGGTCCCCAGGTAGTCACAGACGTTGGCCGCACAGTTGTGATGCTCGGAAATGCTAGCAGCATCCCTGCAAACACCGTACCTGACCAGGGAGCAGAAGGTCCCTCATGGCTCCTGGGCAGAGGGGACCTCAGGGTGGAGGTGTCCCTTCCCAAATCACTCACTGGGCACTGGAGGTGATGGCATGAGTACTTCTCAGCCCAGAGGCAGCCAGCACAGAGCACGTGAACAGCATCTTACAGTTTCCATCTGCAAGCTGGCAGGATCCTGTCCCACCTCCCCTCTGAATAGCTCCCACGTACAGTCAGAAGTTGAGACCTAGCAACTGCGTTTCTACTTTTCCACACCATAAGTGTGTCATAAGCAATGGTTTGCACACCAGCTGGGCAGAGCTTCGGGTGGTGGTGCAACCTCCCATGTTGAGTGGGCTCCTGGGACGCACACCCCCAGGGCCTGCCCCAGCTCTTGGCAAGGTTACCTTAATGGGGGAAGAGTGTTAAGGCTGAGATTAGCAGCAATCCCATCAAACTGCTCTCCAAGGGGCTTGCTTGACTTTTAGCTGAAAGAGGATTTGATGGCTTCTCAGATACATTCAAAGAAGACTCCCATTAAGCTTCAGAACAAGCTAACACAGATCAGAGCTAATGCGTTATTACAAGCACTAAACAGCATTAAGAGCTTCAGCTGAAATTACTTCCAACAGCAGCACCATTTTCTACACTCCAGTGTATTACCACACTACAAATAATAACAACAATAAAAAACTCTCTGAATGAGAATGCGCCCACATTTTTGTATGAATCATTGGGAAGGGTTTGAAGAAAGGGACACTCTTCTAGCCTCACCAGGCATCCTAGGAAAGGAAAAAAAAAAAAAAAAAAAAAA